CAAGGATTGAAAAGAATGACATCAATCATTCTAGTATTTAACTGGAGGAAATATCTGCTCATCTGTTGAAATGGGGAGATTTAACTGTATTCAAACTCCCTTTGATTCTCTCCCGAACCACTTGAGACTCTTAGTTTCACCAGTTTTAGTCATGCGCATGCAAGAAAAAAATATACCTCAGTCAGGCTACGGCATGATCTCTCCAGTTCGATTACAAACGAAGACTTTATATTTCATTGTGATGCACTTGGTCAGGACAGGCAAGGCAAGGGAATACATGATGAACAGTAGGACCCCTATAAAACACCAAGGATCAAAGGTACACCGGTCCCTTAAGGTATCAGGACATACGCATAAAGTGATTAAGGTGGCATATGGTGTACTTGCATTTATTAGTCAAGGCATAGAATTTAAGAGCAAGGAGGTTATGCTAGAATTGTATAAAATGTGGGTTAGGCCACAGCTAGAGTTTCATGTGCACTTTCTGGAATCCACATTGCATCTCCTCCAGTGTAATCACATCCCTCCTACAAAGGAGATTTATCAGGACGTTGCTTAGGCTGAAGAGTTTCTTATGAAGAGAAATTGGACAGACTGGGATTGTTTTCCCTGGAGCAGAGGAGATTGAGAGGGGACGAGCTTGAGATCTGTGAAGTTATGCAGACGTGGGATAGGCAGGAAGGAATTGTTCTCCAAGCTAAGGGGCAGAAGTTTTAAAGGAGATGTGAGGAAAACATTTTTCATCTAGAGGAAATGGCGGGAATATGGAACTCACTGCCTTATAACGGTGGTAAAGGTAGAACCCTCATAATATTTAATAAGTATTTTGATGTACACTTGCAATGACATGGCATACAAGGCTATTGGCCAAGTGCTGGAACATGGAATTAGGACATTTTGGTGGTTATTTTTGACCGGGCAACTTTGATGGGCCAAAGGGCCATTTTCTGTGCTGACAGGCTCTGTGATTCTGTTCTTATTGTGACTGATAACATTGATCACGTTACCAACTGGTTCACTTCAGCACCTGTCCAAATGCCATCCACCATCTTTAACATTTTGTCCCTACACCTACAAAGCATATTGGCAGCAATGTGTACCACTTGCAAGATGTACTGCAGCAACTCACCAAGACCCCTTCAGCATCTTCCAAACTGTGTCCTTTGCCATCTAGAAGGACAAGGGCAGCAGATATAGGGGAGCAGCACAACTGCAAGTTTCACTGTAAGATATTCACTGTCCTGATTTGGAAATATATCACTGTTCCTTCAATGACATTTATTAAATCCTTGAACCCCCTTCCCGCCAGCACTGTGAATGTCTCAACACCCCATGGACCTGCAGCTGTTCACTGAGGTCATTCCCTCTGCAGTTTGGGATCAGTGACAGTTGCTTGTCTAGTCAGCGCTGCCCACGCCCTGTGAACGAATAAAAAAAAATTGATCAGAGAGAGCCTTAGCTGTGATTTAAACAATGGATGTAGTATGAAATGGCAAGAGTGAGATTTAGGGAAGATAAAAAGGCAATCAATTCAGAGGAGAGAAAGCACAGTGAGTTAAGATAGATTTTGAAAGCGAGGTGAGATAGATAGAGCAAGCGGACATACTCAAAGAAGGAGAAAGTGTCAGAAAAAGTAGGAGGTCAAGCTATGGTGTGATCTTGTGGTAAGTGTCGAGCTGCCACCATGACAGTCTTGATAGGGTGAGTGGATGGAAGATATAACCAAATGGATATTTTGGAGCAGGTTACAGAGGCAAGTGGTGAGAGCTGATCCACTGACAGAGTCCATGCCTTCATCAGTAGAAGGGGTGAGTTGGTCAAGAATAAGATTGACAAAGTTAACACCTATTGGGTTTAATAGGTAGGAGAGTTCAGTGAGAAAGTGGAATGGGGCAGTTGGTGTTGAGCAAGTGTCAAGTGCCTCTGGGTCTGGCAAGAATGTCATAGAGAGAAACTGTAGACTTATCTGGGATTTGGGCCTGGGATAGTGCCAATAGAGCTGGAATGTTGTGGAGTACTAAAGGGCTGAGGTAAGGAATTGGAAGAGGAGAATATTTGAGAGAGGAGTGAAAGGAAGCATGACAATGAAAGACAGCCCAGGAGGAGTAAAGAGAAAAGAGGTTACAAATTATGAAAGTAAGAATAATTTTGTTCTGGACTCTTCTGGAATAACAGCCAAAATATGTACATGAATAGATGCAAAGGAGAGTGCAAGTTGTTTTAAGTTTGGTTAAATTTTAAGTTGAATAAATAAAAACATGATAAGAAATGGATAATAGCAGGAATAGATGGTGATAATAGGAAGGTGTCCAGACCGAAAGATAAAAAATGGTGACAACTTAAAGTGAAATTATCATGAAGCGTTAAAGGGCTGTTGTCTGATTTCGGAAATGGGTGAGTCCAGAATCTCTGAGAGTACTAAGGAGGAAGCATTGAAAGCAGAATTGTCACAGTTATGAAAATCCAGCAGTTATGTATAGACTCAGCTGTGATGTTGGACATGATGATAAAATCCATATCTCTGTAATCCTTGAATTATCCCAAGACTCTGTTTCAATTAGTGGAATGCTGATTCTTAACAATCTGAGAAACATATTTTGCTGCTACTTGTTTGTTTTGTTTTTGATCAACCACCTCTTCATGCTGCCACTTTAAAATTTAAGGTTGCAACTTAAAACTTGAAGCAGCTGTTTTGTGCTTATTGAAAGTCTAATAGGTCCTAGACTTCCTTGTACATTTAATTGGTTAGTATTTGTTTAAATTAATAGAGCATGAACTAACTCTTACAAAAGCAACCCTAACAAATTGCCTATTGTAATCTAAACCACTCTAAATCAACTCTATTGGTAATGACAGAATTGGAAATGCACTTGAAGTGCAGTTACCTTGAAAACCACAGACCAAGAGCTAAAGAGGTGAATTTAAGTTGGTATCTCCCTTTCAGCTAGCTTGGAGAGATGGGCCAAACGCCTTCCTTCAGAGCTGCACATTTCCATGTTTTTAGATCTTGTCCTTATGATTTTAACACACTATTTCTATGGGTTCTCCGATGTTGACTCTCCAAACTAAAACCAATGCAAAAGCTATTTTGTGTAGCTATGAACTCCTTAAGGCAGATGTTTCATGGTGTTTTTATGATAATCAGTGTTGGAAGGCACAACTGCAAATGCTGAAACAATAATATTTGAAGGATAAGAGGCCAGAATTGGAGGAGTGTTGAGTATTCTTGGAGGGTTGTAGGGCTGAAGAAAGGTACAGAGATGGGGGACAGGTGAGACAATGGATGGGTGAGGCAGTGGCGGAATTTGAAATTAAAGATGAGAATTTTTAAAATTGAAGAGCCAGAGTAGTTCTGTGAGAGTAGGTGTGACCATTAAACAGGATTCAGTGTGAGATTGGATTCAGGCAGCATGGTTTTAGGCGAAATTATTTTTGTAGTGTGAAAGATGGGCGACTGAATGGGGAGTATTATAATAGTCAGTCTTGAAGTAACAAAGCATGGATGAGGGTTTTGCAGGCAAATGAGGGCTTAGGCACTCTGTCAGTTGAGACACTGAGTTATAATAATTTTTATTGGTATACTGGCACCAGATTGTGTTGAAGTATATAACTGATTGACCATAGCTTTCTGCGATTTTGGCCCCTACACTAACTGGTCTCTTTGTAATCAGGAAGTAGGAGGGTCCAAGATAGTGACTGAATGCTTTCCCAAAGTGACAGTAAACTGGAATTGGGTGAGCCATCTCCACCCACAGTTACTTGTTTTGTTTATGGGATTTGTTTTTGTTTATTGACCACCAGCTGTAGTTCATATACAGCTAGGAGCACCATGAGCTAATTCAGTGTAATTTTTAAAATGCCAGAGGGAGATGAAAACTTTTAATTGCATGTTGAATTATAATGATTAAGAATACACTGCCTGATTGGCTGATGGAAGTAGATTCAATAGTAACTTCCAAAAGGAATTGGATATAAGGGGGGTAAAATTTGCAAGGTTATTGGGGAAAGGACAAGGTGGGATTAATTATATAGTGCTTTCAAAGGTGTGAAGATTCAAATGGCCTTCTCCTCTGAATCTGTGAAACAATAGCAAAAAGGAGAACTTTTACCTTAAATAATTTAGTGAATAAAGACTATTCAGGCAAGGATTGCAGCTCTAATCCAGTAGGAAAATGAAATTAATTTATTGCATTCTTCTGATGACTGCTTTTCAGATCACTCAAGGCAAATGTCTCCCTTCTTCATCTTGATCCAAGATTCAGTTAAAAATCTCTTCTTTCAAGGAAGGTGGCAAATCACTTGTGGCTTAGGGATACTGTTTATTTCTGCAATTCCAAGCTTTTAAAAACCAGTGTTTTGAGGTATATATGATCTGATATGTCTCCTAAAATAGAGTTGAAAATAGACAGAGCTTTCAAGGAAAAATATATGCTTGAAAAGTTCAAGAAGAAATGTAGGGGTGTAGGGAAGGAAAAGTGATGTCAATTTAATTAGTAAGTTTTTCAAAGAGCAGATTCAGGCACAGTGATCTGAATGGTCTGCCTCACTGCTGGAAGAACCCTAAATTCTCCATAACATGGGACCTCTGATGATTGGGAATATGGTAGAGGGCACTTTACTGGCCAGTAAGAAGCTGTATGCAGGTCATAGGAGTTGGTCAACACACCATGTTCCCTTCCTGCTGAAACTCTGGGATTGCTCTCCAATGCTCCTAAATTTAAGGCTCCCTTCTGAATATACTGCTGGATGTCAGGATCCCCTTCTAGTGTTTCCACTTGGCCTGCTGCTAATGTTCATACATTTAAGTGGCTTTGCTAACACAATCCGATGTAAAATAACATGCATCCTCTTGTGAAGCAGTGCATTCTCAATAAGTAAATGTAAGCTATCACTTTCTGCAACTTTTTAGAATATGCATATATCTTGATTACTTATGTGGCAATGTCTCTACTGGCACTTGATTTATCTAAAGGACTAATTTCATTCTCTTTCTCTCATAGCCATCAGTTAAATCAGCACTTGTCAGACACACTTTGCCAGCAAATTTTGGAACTGGATGGAATTGCAATTCTGAGCCATGGGTCCTCAGAACATGAAGTGGACGTAGATGAACAGGTAGAGCATTGATGCAAAGTTCTGTCAGTTTTGGAGGGAGTGATCCACAGATCTTCCTTGTTGCTAAGGATTGCTCTGCTGTGCTTGTACATTTAAGTCACAGTACATAATTCATAAATTGATTTTAAAGTGGTAAATACATCAACTCTCTTCTCGAACTGGGAGGGAATGAGCTTGGCAGTAATATATTTATTCTGCTAAGAGGCTGCATACTTTGTATCAGGATGAGCAATTTACAGTCTCAAAGCTTAGTACTGTGTGCTTATGGATGAGTATCTCGCTAAAGTAGTATGGCAAAATTTGTGATTAATACAATAGACTTTTACTGTGAAAAATAGCATCGTAATAGAGACAAAAATCAACCTTAGCTTGGTGTCACTGAAGCTTGATTAAAGGTGCTTTGTTTTATTTCTGTGGTTTCAATATGATTGATTCTATTACAAATTTAAATAGATATTGTAATTGTAGATGTTGGAAATACCAAACCACTGGCTGCAGCATCCTTGACTTTCCATCCTTCCTCACTTTCTCCATTAAACTATAAAACTGTCCTCACTTGTAATGAAAATATGGGAGTTGCCGATTTAAGGCAGAGTTTGAAGATAGTTTTCTCTGAGGGTTGTGAACCTGCAGAATTCTTTACCACAGAGGGCTGTTGAGGCTGGGTCATTGAGTGTATTCCAGTCAGAGATTTTTAATCAATAAGGGAATTGGAATTATGGGCAAAGGCAAGAAGATGGAGTTGACAATTATCAGATTAACCATGATCTCATTGAATGGTGGATCAGACTTTAGCTGAATGGCCTACTTCCATTGATATGTTTTAGCGTCCTCCGGAAAATGAAAAGAAATATATTCTAACAGGATATGGAGTGGTGGAATAGATGGATGCAAAACAAGATGGAATTCAACTTGGAATAGGAAGTGATAGGAAGAACCAGGAGAAACAATATAAGCTAAATGGGACAATTTTAAAGTGTTTTGGGGGAGTCATGGGAGTCAGAAGAGAGATAGAGACCTAGGAAGTGTCTGTGCATAAATACCTGAAGCTGACAGGGCAGGTTAACAAAACCGTTAATAAAACATATGGGCTTATAAACACATGGCTTTATTACTGAGGCAGTGTATGAAAACACCTGGAAGGTATGCTGAACTGATATGAAATACTAATGTGGCCCCAGCTGGCATTTTGATTATGTCCAATTTTAGGAAGGCCATGAAAGCTTTTGAGAGAAGAAATTTGCTCTGATGGTTCCAGGTTTGAGGGATAATGTGGATAGACGAGAGAAACTAGGACTGTTGAAGGAAAGACTGGAAGGTGATTTGATATAGGAATTATTAATTCTTAAAGCGTTTAAATAAAGTAGATAACACTAAATTCCAGTGTCTGAAAGAGCAATAATCAGAGCACATACATGTGAGGCGATTGTCAACAGGACTTTAGGCAACACAAAAAATGAGTGGTTTGCATTTGGAATACATTATCTGATTGTTGTGAGTATACAGATTCAATAGTAACTTTCAAAAGAGAATTGAATTTCTTTAAAAATGACCAGGAAGAGCAAGGAAGTGAGACCAACTGATTCTTCCTTGAAAGAATAAGCCATTTGTCTTCCTAATTATTTGCTGTGGGTGTGTGCTAACTTCATATTCCTTATATGTATACACCCAGATCTCTTTGTCAATATTTAAAAGTTTCACATTTTCTTTTAAAAACAGTATCCAGTTTTTCTCTTCTGCAAAAAAGAATAAGCTACAGTTCCCCACATTGTACTTCACCTGTACCATCTTTATCTGACCACTCACTTAACATATTTGTACCTCTTTGCAGCCTCCTAGTATGCTCTCAGCCTGCACTCTGACCTAGTTTGTATCATCTACAAATTTAGAAACATTATTCTCAATCTCTACATCTCGGTAGTTCATGTATATTCTAAGTAGCTGAGGCCCCAGTACTGATATTTTTGACACTGAGTTACTGAGCGCTTCCTGCCCATCAACCAATCCTCCAGACATACTAATAGATTAAACCCCACCCCAATTCCAAATGCAATTATCCTGCCTGTAACCTTTTGTGTGATACCTTATTGAATGTCTTTTGGAAATCTGACTACATCTACTGGCTCCCTTTTAATCTGGCCTAATTTTTACATTCTCAAAATACCCTGATAAATTTGCCAAGCACTAATTTCCTTTCATAAAACCATGTTGACTTCAGATTTGAGCATTTTTCTGACAGTGGATATCAGACTAACTGCCCTGTAGTTTCCTATTTTCACTCTCAGTCCTTTGTTGAATAGCAGTGTTATATTTGTTAAGTTTAAATCTTCGGGGAATGCTCATGAATCCAGCAAGCATTGGAAAAACACAACTACAGCAATAAAATAATCATAAAGGAATAAAATGGAGGAAGTAACAGGTTATGAAATTATAGGGAAAGCAAAATTATTATAAATAAGTATAATGAGATGCTTATGAAAGCCTTAAACTGAGACACACAGTGACTTTGTTCTTCCTCTCTCCTTGTCAAGCATAGATACTTAGTTATTCTGACTGGAGCAAGGCAATAGAAAGGGGATAGTGACATGAAGATGTGACCTGTTAATTATTTTGTTTCTTGAAGCAGAATCTTTTGCATTGGTATCCTGTTTCCAATAATATATCAGCAACTTTCTTTGAAGTCATTTCTTCTCTTTTACCTCTGTTAATCTTAGGCTGAAAAGGAGCATTTTGCTTCAGTCTTGATGACAGCAAGACTGCTGGCTAAGTTTCTTGGTTTCCTTGCCTTCCTCCCTTATCGTACAGATGAGCGACCAACAAAAGATATGCAAGAGGCAGCTCTCTCCCTAAGGAACAAGGTGCATACATGGAGTAATTTTCATATTTCCTATAGATAATCCAGCTGAAGCCATATGTTATGTTGATTGTAACTTGTCTCTTCTCATAGAATTAATATTATAAAACTTAAATCATTGCCATCAGATTCTTGAAATACAGATTATTCTTTCCATCTCCTTTGCAAAATGCAGCTTCCCTTCTGTAAAAACTAAATGCATTCTGAGGTTGCATGGATAATAATTAGGAGGGAAAAAAACAAATTATCCAAATATAAATTAAGGTAGTATTAGAATAAAAGGTAAAGAAGGGGAGGAATTTCTGAAATATGTTCAGCAGAGCTTCTTTCACCAATATGTTCTCTGCTCTCGACTAGAAAATTGCTGCGAAACGAGGTAGACCAAGTGTCTGTAGGGGAGCACTTGGGTAAGATTGATCAATTTAGGTTAGTTGGAGAGAACGAAGAACAATTTTATAGCCTCTGAATTGGAAGAGGACTCATTTTAATTTGATAAGAAAGGTAAAGATGAGGGTAAAATAGAGCCACAGCCTGGTAGGGATAACTGTAAAAGAAGAATAGGTGAAGACCTTGAGTGAACTGGAGATTAGAAAGTGGAAAATGTGTTTCATGAATTTGAGCGTGGGTCAGACTTATAAAATTAACTTAAAGGACCAGATAGACAAAAAGGCTTTAGGTAAAGGCTAGGGACATTCTAACAAAGGCGAAATGTAAGGTAAAAGCACGCTCCTTGGATGACAAGGGAGATTGAGGTTATGATGCATATCAGGTAAATTCTTCAAATGAGAACCAGGTCGATATGTGGATTGAGAGGGGAGGTGAAGAGGAAAATAAGACTGGCAAAGACAGAATGTGAGCATGGCAGTTAACATAAAATGTAACAGAAAATCTTCAACCAATGTATAAAAATTAAGCTGGTAATAAGATTGAGTGGGTCCCATTAGAGTAAACGAGAGTGTTGTATGCTTGGAGATGAAGGGCAATGATAGAATATTTTATATCAGTGTTTATTAAGGAAGCATCTGACATTATCATTGGAAGCAGAGATAGCGGTAGCAATGTACAGTGTCAAAATTAAAGGTACCACATACTCAGCTGGTCTTTACTGTGAATAAGTCGCCTGATCCCACTGGGCTGCAAGCCAACTTGCTAAAGGAAATGGGAGTGGAGATAGCAGAAGGCCTTATTATAATCTTGCAATTCTCCCTTCATAGGGGTGATATAGGTGGTGCTTCCAGAGGAGTAAAGAGTGGCAAATGTGTTATTCTTCAAGTACTACTAGGAACTACATGCTTACACCACTTAGTCTAACATCTGTAGTGGGTAAGATTTTGAATCATAGAATCCCTACAGTGTGGAAACAGGCCCTTCAGCCCAACAAGTCCACACCGACCATCAGAGCATCCCACCCAGACCCATCCCCCTTTAACCCACCTAATCTAGGCATCCCTGAACACTACAGGCAATTTAGCGTGGCCAATCCACCTAGCCTGCACATCCTTGGACTGTGGGAGGAAACCGGAGCACCCGGAGGAAACCCACACAGACACGGGGAGAATGTGCAAACTCCACACAGACAGTCGCCCGAGGGTGGAATCGAACCCGGGTCCCTGGCGCTGTAAGGTAGCAGTACTAACCACTGAGCCACCATGCCGCCCCGTGATGGAGTATGAACAACAATCGCTCCTTCCTGGGTGGCCACGAACTGCCAATTTCCTGCTCAGCAGCCAAAGGCGCTGACCAATTGCGCCACAGAGACTGGCAGAGTTCAGAGTAACACTTCAAAATTTGCTGACCTTACCAAATTTGGAAGGAAGATGATGCAAATTGTCTCCAACAGGATATAGAAAAGAAGAATGGGGAGACATGGCAAATGGAATTTAATGTAGTGAACTGTAACGTGATTATTTTGGCAGAATGCTTGGGGCCATGTGCATAATCTTTAAAGATACCAGGATATAGTGAGAGGCTGGTTAGCAATGCAAATGGGATCTTGGGCTTGATAAGTAGGGGCACTCTTCATGAAATTCTGGTTAGGTCTCAACTAGGTATCCAGTTCTAGTTACTGTGCTTGAAGGAAAATGTAAAGGTCCTGGATAGAATGTGAAGGAGATTTGCCAGAATCGTTCAAGGGATGGGGGCATTTAGTTGCAAGTTTAAGTTGAAAGGACTTGGTTTGTTCTCCTTGGATTTGAAAGATGTGTACAAGATTATGGCAGTCTTAGATGAGGTGGACATTTTAACTAATGATACGAGGAGCAGGGAACAATGATTTAAGGTTTTGGGCAAAAGATGCAGGCAAAATCTGAGGAAGAACTTCAGAATTCCTACAGTGTGGAAGCAGGCCGTTTGGCCCATTGAATCCCTACCAAGAGGATTCCACCCAGACCCTACCCCTACCCTATCCATGAATTTCCTACCTAGACATCATGGACAATTTAGCATAGCCAATCCACCTAACCTGCACATCTTTGGACTGCGGGAGGAAACCAGGAGCACCCAGAGGGAACCCACACAGATGCAGGAAGAATTTGCAACCTCCACACAGACAGTTGCCGGAGGCTGGAATCTTGGATCCCTGGTGCTGTGAGGCAGCAGTGCTAACCACTATGCCACCGTTGTGGCCCTTTCTGTACACACAACCTGGAACTCCCTGTCCATGAGAGTGGTGGAAGTGGGAACAATGAAAAAGGAATCGTATGTGCACTTAGAAATAAATTTGCAGGGGATCAAATGGGGGATGTTGAACTGTTTGGATTAATCTTTGGGAGCCACAGTAAATTGAAAAGCTGAATAGTTGTCTTTTGTGCCAACTGTGATTAAATGCTGACAATCTGAAATGAAAATGGGACTCTGGCAATATCTGGTAAATGTATTAGATTATTAAGGTAAAACTAGGGTAATAGAGATATTTCTTTTGATTAGAAGTAGAAACTTTTCTTTTGAATGATGGAAGAAATGGTTTCATTTTTTCCATTTTGTTTTTGTTCTGTGTTAACTCTGCTAACATCTTAACCCAGACTGAGCTGGTTATGCTTCTGTGAACTACTTTTGAATGCTTATCTATAAAAATGCAGGTTGACTATCATAACATCTGAGAAGTTATCTAATCAGGAAGTACTTGAATAAGTTATGAAAAGATGTCTCCTCTGAGCCCCTCAATCCCCCTCTCCTCTTCAGAAAAGCTTCTAGATGATTGTCTTATCAAATCTTGTGACAAACTAAGTATGCTAAACATCAGTCACAACATTTGCTGATTTGCCTTTTTGCCTTTACCTGCCTAGAGTCCACCTGTTCTGGATGTGTACAGATTACTGAGAAAGTCAACTGAAAATCAACGCATCATTTTCACTGTACCTTGGGTGGTTGAGTTTCTTAGTATGGTGGATCATGTGGCGCCATTCCTTGATTATTACCATAGTGTGTTTACCCTCCTATTGCATCTATACAGGTGAGTGTCAGGAGATGCCAGCTGTACAGAATTTTGTTTCACCTGCTCTCTGCACCTCCAGCAATTTCTCTTTTGTTGTTTTTGATTGACGATGTAACAGTATACTGTAGAATGATATTAACTTGTCAGCCCTGGTTCAGTGCTCATACACTCTTACCTGAGTCAGAATGTTGACATTCACCTGGAGTAGTGTTGAAGGTGCCATTGTCCAGATGAAATTTTAAATGAAGTCCCATGGGTAAAAGAACTAAAGCATATTTTGAAGAAGAGCAGGGTGGAAGGTGGACTTAGCTATGTATCATTCTCCTTATCCAACACCACTGAAAAGGATCATCTTGTGATTATTGAGAGAAATGTTATCTGTAACTCTCTCCACAAATGCTGTCTGACCCACAACGCATTTCTAGCATTTTCATTGATCGTTTATTATGATGTCTGCACTCGGAACCACAGTCATAGAGTAACACAGTATGGAAACAGGCCCTTCGGCCCAAACTGGTCCATGCTGACCATGGTGCCCACTCAACTAGTTCTAGTTGCCCACATTTGGTCCATATCGCTCTAAACCCTTCCCATCACATACCTATCCAAATGTTTTTAAAATGTTGCTATTGTACTTACCTCAACCAATTTCCCCAGTAGCCCATTCCATGTACACACCACTCTCTGCGTGAAGAAGTTGCCCCTCAGGACCACCTCAAATCTATCCCCTCTCACCTTAAACCTATGCCCTCTAGTTTTCAATTCTCCATCCTATCTATGCCTCTCATGATTTTATAGACCTCAATAAGGTCACCCCTCCATCTCCTACATTCCAAGAAATAAAGCCCTATCCTGGTCAACCTCTCCCTGTGACTCAGGCCTACTAGTCCTGGCAACATCCTCATAAATCTTCTTTGCACACTTTCGAGTTTAACTATGTCTTTCCTATATCAGGGTGACCAAAACTGTACACAATACTCTTAAGTGTAACCTCACCAACGACTTATATAACTGTAACATAAGATCCCAACTCCTATTCTCAATGCCTCGACTGATGAAGACCAGCATGCTAAAAGACTTCTTCACCACTCTGTCCACTTGTGACGCTCCTTTCAATGAACTATGTACTTGTACTCCTGGATCCCTCTGTTCCACAGCACTCCTCAGGACCTTACCAATTACTGTACAAATGGTGGTTTTACTTTTCAAAATGCGGCACCTCACATTTATCTGTATTGAATCGCATTTGCAAATCCTCAGCGTGCTTACCATTGAGAAGATGTTGTTGAGCTGTTGTCTTGAACCATTTGCACACCATGTAGTGCCAATACAGGGTTCCAAGATTATGACCTAATGACAAAAGAATGATGATATGTCTCTAACTTAGGATCGTGTGTGGGTTTGAGGAAAGCTTGCATGTGATGGTGTTCCATATATCTGCTGCCCTTATCTTCCTTTATGGTGATTGTGAGTTTGGATGATGCTGTCTGTGGAGCTTTGGTGAATTTCTGCAGTGCATCTTGTAGACGGTACACACAGCTGCTCCTGAGCGTTAGTGATGGAGCAAACAAATGTTTGTGGATGTGATGCCATTTGCATGGACTGCTTTGTTTTTGAACGGGTTTGAGTTTCCTCTCTTGATGGAGATGCATACATCAGGTAAGTAGAGAGTATTCCACCATACCCCTGATCTGTGGCTTGTTAATGATGCATAGGTTCTGGGAAGACAGGGAGTGAGTTATTCATTGCAGGATTTCTAGCCTCTGACCATAATATTTATACGGCTAATCCAGTTTAGTTCTTGATCAGTGGTAGGCCTAGGTTGCAATGAGGAACTCAGCGATCATAATATCATAGAACTAAGAACAATACCCTTTGGCCCTCCAAGCCTGCGCCGACACTTTTTGCCCTTCCATATTAAAACCATCTTCACTTACAGGATTTTTATCCCTGTATTACGTTCCTATTCATACATTCATCCAGGTGCTTCTTGAATGTTGCTGTTGTGTCTGCTTCTACCACCACCTCTGGCAGCGCGTTCCAGGCACTCTCCACCCTGTGTGTGGAAAACATGGCTTGCACATCTCTTTTAAATTTATCCTCTCGCATCTTGAACCTGTATCCCCTAGTAATTGACCCCTTCACCCTTCAAAAAAGCCTCATACTTTCCATTCCATTCACAATCTTCTATCAGGTCATCCCCTCAGCCTCCTGCGTTCCAGTGAAAACAAACCCAGTCTATCCAAGACAACAAGGTGCAGGGCTGGATGAATACAGCAGGCCAAGCAGCATCATAGGAGCAGAGAGGCTGACGTTTCGG